GCGCTCAATGTTGGGAATGGAGAAGTGAAAAACAGAAAAACCTTCAAGCTCTCAGGAAGCTTGTGTTCTGGTGGAGCAGGATGAAAACAAGCTAATGTAACAACACAATGAATATACAGTAGGTTAAGAAAAACTACAGAGCATGAGAGTGTCGGGGAAGGAGGATGGTACATTTCGGGCAGAGTGGTCAGGGAGACCAACAGGCCTTGGCTATGGCCCTGTTTTTCAAACTTGCCTCTCTGCCTCACCATCTCCCCCACTACCAACTCAGTCCTCAAGCAATTCCTCTCTCTTCCTTCTCTGACAGAAGACTAAGGCATGCTCTGTGGCCCTCACTCCCAGACCTACACCGGGTCCTAGGCCAGTACCTCAGAGACTCTGCGGACCTAACACCTGTGAGTACATCCCAACCCTCCCCACCTCCAGTCATCCCGATGACTCTTGTTCCCACAATGATTTTGTTCATGCTCTTTTCCCTAGCCCAGTTCTTATTATATAATCCAGCTACCCCATACCCTAAGATCTGCTCTAACTTAACTTTTTGTTCTGCTCTTGAGACAGGGCTTATCTGTGCAGCCCTGGCTGTCTTGGAACTTGATAGATAGACCAGGCTGGCCTCTCAAAGAAATCCTCCTGCTTCTGCCTCCCAAATGCTGGTAATTAAAGTCCTGAGCCTGGCTAATCTACCTCCTTTTCTCTCTCTCTCTCTCTCTCTCTCTCTCTTCTCTCTCAGCCTAAGGCCACAGTTACTGAGAGTTGTGAAGAAGTGGAACCCAGCCTCTTGGAAATCCTACCTAAGCCCTCAGAAAGGACTCCTTTGCCCCTGTGTTCCCCCCAGCCTCAGATGGACTACCGAGGGCTGCAACCTTGCCTGAGGACCATGCCCCTGTCTGTGTGTCCACCCATGGCTGAGACAGGGCCCTGCTGCACCACACACATCGCCAACCACTCCTACCTACCACTAAGCTATTGGCAGCAGCCCTGAAGGCAGTCCCCTCACTACCACAGATCTACAGCTTCAGCACCTTACCTTACCTATCTTTAACACCAACACCATCTATTCTGTCCACTCATCTCCTTGGGCTTTCTAACACCGATCTCTCCATATGGCTGCTCACAAATCCAGAGCCCTTTCTCCACAGGCACTAGAAAAGGCTCCTCTGGGTTTTGGGGTTTTTGTTTGGGTTTTGTTTTGTTTTGGGGGGGTTCACTATATAGCCCTAATGGCCTATAATTTGCTATGTAGAAAAGGCTGACCTTGAACTCACAGAGATCTGCCTGCTGGGATGAAGGTGCCATGCCCTGTAGCTCCTCTTGACTGCCAAACTTGGTGGGGGAGGAGGGAAAGGTCCCCACCTCCCACTGACCTTTAAGAATCTGTTCCCCTACTACCATGATACTAATGAAATTGTGCAGGCCAAGTTTGCTTCAAGCCTTCTAATTATAAGATCCAATGGGGTCCTGTTAATCATCTATCTATCCACTCTCTTGGCTTTTTCCCCCACCCTGGCTCCCACAGCATCACCTTCCTTCCTGGTTTTGTCCCTGCCACTCTGAACACACCAGAAGAACCAGCTCTGGAGCTAAAGCCAGGTTCTGCCGTTCACACCTTCTAGCTGTGCAGACTTAAGCAAGCAGCTGAAAGCCTTTGAGCACGGGTAATAACAATCCACAGAGCTGTGGAGCCAATTGACTGCACATTAGCTAAGATATGGTAAATGCTTAATATACCTCAACTAGTATCCTAATTATCTCCGCCGCCCCCCCCCCCCCATTCTGGCCTTTATTATACGATGGCCATTAGAAAGTTCTAATCTCTGGTCCAGACTTCTAGTACAGCGCCCATGATGCTTTGTGTGGCTTTTTTACATGTGTGTTTCTTGCTATGGGATGGTGAGTTGAGAGGGCAAGGGTTAAGATCTGTCCTTTGCCCCAACACGTTGAAAACTATTTGGTGCATGACAGGTAGAAAACCTTTAATAAATATATTCTAAGTGAATGAAATCTTTTTGAATAATGTTGCCTTAATTCTATGCCAAATTCCTTCATACTTCAAGCCACTCCTATGCAATGGTAAATAAACTCAAACCACTCAAGTTATGGATTCCTCTAAGCCATTCCAATTCTCAATCAAATGTTACCATGTTTGGGTCTTTGCTAGCTCCAAATATACCAACTTTACGAGTCAGGGTCTTGGTAGAAGGAGATGGCACAAACCAGGTAAGCTTAATACAAGGTACATTTACAAAGGTGAGGGTGAGATTTTGGAGAACCATCAAAGAATAGTATTGTGCCATAGCGCTAATAACAAAGATGGCACCAATCTTAGTCATCAAGCAGTAAGGAAGAGCCATCAGACCTAAAGGGAGTAACTACAAGACAGGGCTGCCTTTGGTAGGAGAGAGCAGAGCAATAAATAGTTCAAACGCGTGGTTTTGAGTCTCTTGGAATAGAGATATTTTTAAATGGCAGGGGGATGAATTATGAATATATTGTATGCCATCTGTTTGCTACAACCAGACCCACACCAACCTTCTCTGCCTTTGGTTGATTTACCAGAGAACCCCCTAGAGCTTTGGTTTCTGTTTGGGTTCTATGGGAGTGTCTTAGGATTTTATTGCTGTGAAGAAACACCATGACCAGGGACCTTTTTAAAATTTTTTAAATAATTTATTTGTTTATTTCCTGTGCACTGGCGTGAGGGCATCAGATTCCCTGGAACTGGGACTGCAGATTGGGGACTGAAGCCGGGTCCTCTGGAAGAGCAGACAGCGCTGCTTGGATTACAAAGGTGTGCCTTGGTTGACATCACTTACCTCATTCTGGCCTAACTTCTTTTCTTTTTTTAATTTTTATTTTAGTTAAGTTTATTTACTTTATATTCCAAGGGTGCCATCTCTCTCCTCTCCTCCCAGCTCCATCCCCTGACCTAATTTTTTTTTTTTTTTAAACAGTCTATTACATTGCCCTACCTGTCCTGGAACTCACAGAATATCAACTGCCTCTGCCTCCCAGGGGTTGGGATTAAAGGTGTAAAATGTATGCACCTCCATGCCTGCCTCTCTGATCTAATTTTTTTTTTAATGTAAAATTAAGACAGTTTATCTCCTTTAAGAGATTTGTAAACTTGCCAGGTGTGGTGACACATGCTTTTAATCCCAGTATTCTGTAGGCAGAGGCATCTGAGTTGAAGACCAGCCTCGTTTACAGAGTGAGATACAGGACAGCCAAGGCTCAGAAAAACCTTCCCTGGGGGGCGACAGAGAGGTTCAAGGTCATCCTTAGCTATGTGGAGTTCAAGGCCAGCCTGGGCTACAGGAGAAAGTATTTGGAAAAAAGGATGTAAATGGTTTTAATGCAGTAGTTGGTAGATGGTCAATTAGTGCATCCATTATTCTTTGTATTGATGCTGTTTTACCTCTGAACATATTCATTCACTCCATTAAAGCCTGGGACTAAATGGGAGTCAGACCTAGCTCCTGGATTCTTTTTTTTTTTTTTTTTAATTATTATTATTATTACCAGAAGGAGATGTACTATGACATGGGTGTGGAGATCAGAGGGCAGCTTTTCTTAAATGTGTGTGCTTGCCTGCTTGTCTGTGCACCTCATGCACACCTGGTGGAGGTCAGAAGAGGGTATTACATCCATCAGACCATAGTTACCGGTGGGTAGGAACCACTCGATGGGTGCTGAGAACTGAACCCTGGGTCCTCCACAAGCGCATCCAGTGTTCTTATCAGCTAAGCCATCTCTCTAGCCTCCCTTCCCCTTTAAAAGATTTTAATTTGGGGGCTGGAGAGGTGGCTCATCGGTTAAAAGCACTGGCTGTTCTAGAGGACCCAGGTTCAATTTCCAGCACCCACATGGTCATCGAACTACAGTTGCAGAGGATTCAACACCCCCACAAAGACATACATGCAGGCAAAACACCAATGCATGTAAAATGAAAAATAAATAAAAGATTTATTTTTTGAGAGTGTGTGTGTGTGTGTGCGCAACCTATGTGCTGGTTCCTGTGGAACCCAGAAGAGGGCACCGCTGCCCGGGAGCTGGAGTTACAGGTAGCTGTGTGCTGCCCAACAGACCAAATTCTGCTCCTATGAAAGGGCAGCAAGAGGCTCTTAACCACTGAGCCATCTCTCCAGGCTCCAGCCGTGGATTCTTACCAACTTTTTATGACCTTGAGCAAACTCCTTCCTTGCACTGAGTCTTAGTTTTTTCCATCAACATAATATGGTCTTGGACTGGGTGTGGTGGCACACACGCCTTAAATCCCAGGGGATCTCTGTATTCCAGGCCAGTCTGGTCTACAAGGTGAGTTCCAAGCCAGCCAGGACTGCATAACGAGACCCTGTTTCAAACAAACAAAACGACTGTTGCTCTGGCAGGTTACAAGCAACCCAAGTAAAGAGAATCCCTAAGATTCTCAAGAATCCAAAGCCCCAAGAGTGATGCCCCAAGAGCAGCCTAACCTAACCTTCAAGACAGTAAGACTGGGATTCTGATCCTTGTTTTGACCCCCCACTTTACCTCCCTTAGCCACACAGGCACGCAACGCTTCCCATCGGGATTTCTGGCTAGCGGGCAGCCAACAAGCTCCCGCCCTCCCCGTTCAGATGTAACTACTCCGGTCCTCCAGATCGAATTTACCTGTGTAAATAACCTAAGTACCACCCATATACAGGCTTCGAAGTGACCCTTCTCAGGCTCTCAGATCGCCCAACTCGGCGGCGGCCCGACCAGAGAGAAGCCGACGGGTTAGCGAATGCCCAGGACGGACAGGCAGGGCAGGCCCCGCCCCTCCCCCAGGGGGTCTGGCTCCAGACAAGCTCGGCAGCTGTACTCTCGTGAGATCTGAGACTTGCTCCAGGAAGACCCGCCCCTTTCTAGTGTAGCGACCAATCGGCGAGGGCGACGGTTAAGACAGTTGGGTTTTGAAGGAGCCAATGAGCGCTAGCAGCGGATAGTTCAAGCCGAATAGCCTGGCTTGCCATTAGCTGGTCCGGCAAAGAACCCGTTCGGCTGACGCACGGACCCACTGTACGGAGCAGGGCGCTTGTGTTTCGGAGGGCAGAGTACGAGTCGTGGCCGGCGGAGCTCAGGAGTCCAGCGCGGTCGCGAGTTTGGTCGCCTCTCTCCCCTGCAGACGCTGCCATGGCGCAGTTCGTGTTCGAGAGCGACTTGCACTCTCTGCTTCAGCTGGACGCGCCCATCCCCAATGCACCCCTTGCGCGCTGGCAACGCAAAGCAAAGGAAGCCACGGGCCCAGCCCCTTCGCCCATGCGGGCCGCCAACAGATCACACAGCACCGGCCGGACTCCGGGCAGAACTCCTGGTGAGTTGGAGGCCGGGGGAGGGAGGGAGGTAAATCGCTGAGAGTCGGCCTTCCTGCACCCTCCAGGAGCCTCGTCAGACTGTCTGGCTTCTCTCTCTTTCCCTGCTCCAGGCAAATCTAACTCCAAGGTTCAGACTACCCCTAGCAAACCTGGAGGTGACCGCTATATCCCCCATCGCAGTGCTTCCCAAATGGAGGTGGCCAGCTTCCTCTTGAGCAAAGAGAACCAGCCCGAAGACGGGGAGACGCCCACCAAGAAGGTATGATTCCACGGGGGTCATGAGGCATGAGATTTGATGTGTCCTTTGGTTGATACCGGTTCCCCTCACCAACACCCCATCTATATGCCAGGAGCATCAGAAAGCCTGGGCTCTGAACCTGAACGGTTTTGATGTGGAGGAAGCCAAGATCCTCAGGCTCAGTGGAAAACCTCAGAATGCCCCAGAAGGTGAGAACTGACATTCATGGGGGTTGGTGGCACTCAGTCCTTCCTGAGAGGAGATGTGTGGCTGCTTTTTTCCACCTCAAGTTGACAGCAAGGGTGCTATGGGTTCCAAGGTCTAGACTCTGTCTAAACTCTGTTGCCACAGGCTACCAGAACAGACTAAAAGTACTCTACAGCCAGAAAGCCACGCCTGGCTCCAGCCGGAAGACTTGCAGATATATTCCTTCCCTGCCAGATAGGATTCTCGATGCCCCTGAAATCCGAAATGACTACTGTAAGTACATATTTTCTTTGTCTGTGGGTGGAGAAAGACGGCCTGGGAATGGACCACTTTATCAAAGGACCTCATGGTTTGTTTGTTTTTTCTGCCTCTGGCAGACCTAAATCTTGTGGATTGGAGCTCTGGAAATGTCTTGGCTGTGGCACTGGACAACAGTGTGTACTTATGGAATGCTGGTTCTGGCGACATCCTGCAGCTGTTACAAATGGAGCAGCCCGGGGACTATATATCCTCCGTGGCCTGGATCAAGGAGGGCAACTACCTTGCTGTGGGCACCAGTAATGCTGAGGTGCAGGTGAGCCTGGTCCTTGGATGGTGGCTCTGTGCTCATCAGCTTGCCCCCCCTGGAAGGATTTGATGCCCAGCCCCCCCACTCTCTGACTCTGGCTTGCCTCTGCAGCTCTGGGATGTGCAACAGCAGAAACGACTTAGAAACATGACCAGTCACTCCGCCCGAGTAAGCTCCTTAAGTTGGAACAGCTATATTCTCTCCAGGTCAGTGGTTTTTGCTAGTCTATAGCAAAATACAGCCTGGTTTCTGCCATCTAGAACTGAAGTGGCTGTGGCTTGATTTTTGTGTGGCCTCAGAACTAACTCTCTTTTCTTCTCTCAGTGGTTCACGCTCTGGCCACATCCACCACCATGATGTTCGGGTAGCAGAACACCATGTGGCCACGCTGAGTGGCCATAGCCAAGAAGTATGTGGCCTGCGCTGGGCCCCAGATGGGCGACATCTGGCAAGCGGTGGAAATGATAACGTGGTCAATGTGTGGCCTAGTGGTCCTGGAGAAAGTGGCTGGGCTCCCCTGCACACATTCACTCAACATCAAGGTGCTGTCAAGGTGAGAAAGCATTTGAGCTGAGGTCTTCACAGACTCAGCGATAAACTATGGACTCTTAAGGCTAGAAGACATGGTGGGATTGGACTGGGTTCAGCTGACTTAGCTTCTTGTCTGTCTCTACTGTCTATCTGCTGACCTGACCCAGCCTTTATCCATCCCATCTAGGCTGTTGCGTGGTGTCCCTGGCAATCCAATATTCTGGCAACAGGGGGAGGCACCAGTGACCGACACATTCGCATTTGGAATGTCTGCTCTGGGGCCTGTCTGAATGCTGTAGATGCCCATTCTCAGGTAGTTTTTGTTGGGGTTGTTAGTGGTGATGATGTTTTAACCTGTCTCAGCCAGATGTGTTCTATATGACCTTTTCTGAACAACCAGTTCCACTCTAACTCTGTACCCCTGATAAATTCTAAACCTCTGACTCAGCCCTCATTCTAAGTTCCAAGTTTGGCTTATCTCTAACCCTAGGTCCTCTAAGTATTACCTCCTCAGTGTGTCCCAATTAAGCTTATCACTTCACCTCACCTTCCTGAAATGTATTGTTGTTCCTGTTGTACTGCTTAGAAATCTGAAAAGCGTCCTAAAATCTTTCATCCTCCTCAAGATATTTTAGTTTTACCTTGCAATATCATTCACATCTGCCCCCTCGTTATCACCGGGTCCTCTATCATTCATTCATTCATTCATTCATTCATTCATTCATTCATTCATTCATTTTGAGATAAGGTCATATCCTGGCTAGCTTCAGACTTTTCATGATCCTCCTTTAGTATCCCAAGTGCTGAGATTACAAGTATCACCACCATGCCCAGGCTCCCACACATTCTGTCTTCTGTACTTCACAGTCTGAGTGTTATCTTTATTGTCCTTAAACCTCCCACAATCTACAGTATATGATCCCTTTGAGGCTGTTGGTGCTGGTGTGCCTTTCTGTAAAAACTCCAGCTTCCCCTGTTCATTCCACTCCCACTCAGCCTGATTCACTGCACGCATGGGCTCTGAAGCCAGATTGTTGGAGTTATACAAAGTGGTCATCTCTTGCATTACTTTGAGCAACTTATGGAACTTCCTTTTGATGGAGTCTTCTACCGTAACACAGATATTTTTCTTAAGGGGCTTCGGTAAGGAGTGTGACCATTAAGTTTAAATCTGTAACACCTGATGGGGTTCCTAATACTAGAATGGACTCAGTTCTGAGTACCCTGGCTGAATGTCATTCCCATGGTAACTCTTTTCCACAGGTGTGCTCCATCCTCTGGTCTCCCCACTATAAGGAGCTTATCTCAGGTCATGGCTTTGCCCAGAACCAGCTGGTTATTTGGAAGTACCCAACCATGGCCAAGGTGGCTGAGCTCAAAGGTAGGTGGCAAAAAGAAGCCAGGTAGAAAGGCCATACATAGTGCATGATTCCATTTATATGAAATGGTAAAGATAGGTGGGAAGTATGGTTTAGAGTGCTGTGGTTCTAGGGTTAACAATGCAGTAAAGCCACTGAATTAGTTAAGAGGGTGAGTTTATTCTATTCAAATTTTATTTCAAGGTGACTAAAAAAATAGAAGGCTGTGTATATGCTCAAGTGCACTGCTCTTAACCCTAGGTCACACAGCCCGGGTCCTGAGTCTCACCATGAGTCCTGATGGGGCCACAGTGGCATCTGCAGCAGCCGATGAGACTCTGCGGTTGTGGCGCTGCTTTGAGTTGGACCCTGCCGTGCGGCGGGAGCGGGAAAAGGCCAGCGTAGCTAAGAGTAGCCTTATCCACCAAGGCATCCGTTGACAACAAACCCATTACCCCTCGGTTTTTTTTTGGTTTTTTTTTGTTTTGTTTTGTTTTTCTAATAAAGTTGTATCTTCCTTTCTTGTGTCCCTGCTCTGACTAGAACTATAAGTCTTGTGAGGACTTTTGGTCCCTTTACTATTTTTGTTGTTTTGGGCACTGAACCCAGAACCTTACCCACTAAACTTCAGTTTTCTTTTGGAACAGGGTCCAGACTAACCATGAACTTGAGCTTCCTGCTTTAGCAGCCTCCCCAGTGGCTAGAACTATTGCCTGCACCACCATCCGTCCATTCTGTAGACAGGGCTCTACCTCCATTTATATACACACAGTCTCAGTGATTTCCTCTGTCACTTTAATTAAGACACAAGTGAGTACACAGCCTGTATTGCCAGGCCCGCTGCCCATCCTGACCTTTGGCCCAGAAGCTCATGCTTCAGTGTGGAGTGAAGAAGGGAGCCTGAGTCCGTAGTGACAGATTATTGCTGACCTCTTCAGTGTGAGGAGAAAGGCCACAAGACCCTGGTGGGGGCCAGCCCTGAGTGTTCCTCTCCCAAGTTTAAGGCAGGGAGGGGGAAGTAAGTGTTCAGCCCTTTTAGCCTCCAGTTCTGGTGGCAGACAGCAGTGAGGCCACATCTCTGGAGCTGGCTGGGAGAAGGAATGGGAGCAGTGGTCCCTGTAGACCAGCTGTGGGGAGGGGAGAGCCAGTCCTCCTACTCAGTCCTGACCACAGAGCCCTGGTCGCAGGCGGAGAGGACACTGGTGGATGCTGCCCAAGGTGCAGTCCTGAGGCACTTAGGTGGGCAATAAGGCCATGCTTCTCAGTTGGCCTTAACCTTGGTGGGAGCTGGAGCTCCATTTTGCTGAACTGCACGGGGCAGCCGCTTTCCCTTGGTGTAGGAGTGATACCAGAAATTGGAGAACAGCACGAAGAAGATGGTGCCATACATCCAGATGAGGTGGATAATGATGGGGTACTGGTAGTTGCAGCTGGGCATGAAGTAGTATTGGCTGATGTGCAGTGAGACCAGGACAAACTGGATCTGGAATAGAAAAAGACAAGGGTCAGAAATAGGTTGGAGAGGAAGGATGATGGGGTCAGAGGTCAGACCGGTCGATTAAAAGGAACTAAGTTAAAAATACTCAAGTTTGGTTTTAGGCCTATCAGGCTCCTCACCAGTTGAATGGCTGTCATATGTTTTTTCCACCAAAGGTAGGGCTGAGCCACAGGGCCAAGGGCGGACAATCCATAGTACAGGTACATGACAACATGTACAGAGGAGTTTATCATGGCATGGAAAGAGCCCATTCCTCCTAAGATGGGAAAGAAAACAAGGTTAAGAGAGGAGCCTCTGCTCCTAGCGGCCACCCTCTTCTCCAGTGGCTTTCACTGCTCACCTGGAGCAATCTTTATCCCCCACCACCAACTCCAGGGAAGCACTGAGTGATGGAAGACATGTAGAAAGGTCACCTGCCCATCTTTCTTCCGGAGAATAAATATCACCTGCAGAAGAATGGAGGAAAGGTTGAGTGCCAGTGCCTTCCTTTCTGCTCCCAAGTTCTAACATCTATAGCTACTCACTGTGTCCATCAGCTCAATGACCTTGGAAAGCATGAAGAGCCAGGCCACTCGAACCATCTGTAAGAAGTTAGGTCAGTCTCAATAATTTACACAGTACTCAAAGACCTAAAAACAAGTCTTAGGCCAACTCCTCTCTTATCTAGGCTGCTGCTGATTTACCTGAGGCTCTACTTACCCGAAGTGCCTCAGGGCTATTGGAAAAGTCTATAGGATCACAGCGCCAGGTGTAGGTGCTCAGCCAACCAGACATCAGGAACTAAAAAAAGAGTGTGGATTAGACAGACTTCCACTCTCCCAGGAACCCCTCACCTTCACTAGCTGAACTTCTAGAAAGTAGATAAGCCATGCTCTGGCCCATGCCCTATGCCCCTAATTCTTACCCTGCAGGCAGAAACTACAGCCTAGGCATTCCAGCCTACCTCATAGACAATGTAGAGGGAAAGTATCACCAGTGAGAAATTGTAGACAATCATGAAACCACGAAGTTGGAAGGGCTTCCGGTTAGCCATGACTCGAGGTCCCAGTGACAAGACGAAGTACACGTAGGTCAGGAGGATGGATGTTATTAACCACGGGGACCCCATCAGAGGGTAGTTCTGGATCCGGGGATCTGTGAATAGAATCTCAAAGGAGTTAGGGTCACAGGGTTCAAGATGCCTTCCTAGATCTACACATGAGATCAGGTCATAAAAAATGAAGTAGTTCATAAGGACTCTTCATTAGGACACAGCCCTAGATCCTGGGATCCCAGAGAAGGAAAGACAGGCTTTGCACAACAGCTTACCTGCATGCTTCATCAGGTCCTGGTACAAGTTCACAACAGCCTCCATCCTGGCTAAGAACTCTGAGGAAAGATGGAGAGTGGTTTCAGATAGGGGACCGCTGCATGCCGCACACCCCCACACTTGGCCCACAAAGACAAGATACAGAAACAGACAGCCCTGATACCTTGCTGGTGAAAGGATAGGACCATGAATATGGCTCAGTGGTACTTTCCTAGCATGGACAAGGCCCCAAGTTTAATCCTGACTATGGGGAGCGGGGATATGCCAGGGGAAAAGGCAGTCTGGAGGGAGAATCTGCTCCCCAAGCATCCTGCCTGCCTGGAGAGAGCTGTCCCACCCTTCCTCTCCACACCTTCCTCTCCTCTGTGCTGCTCTCCGGAGGAAAGTTTCCCTTCCTGGCCTCCCTCCCTTTGAGAGCACTCTGGATTCCAGGTCTCCTGGACCCTTTCTCTTCACAGCACTGTTCATCTTTCCAGTGAACTTCCTCACCCTTACTGCCCAGCAGTCTCATCTCCCCAGCTCTGAAAGGTCATATTCTCTTCAGAGATTCTCCCCTTCAGCCACTCATCTCTTACTCCCCCCTTCTGCCAAGTAAAGACCCTCTGGTCCTTTCCCAAGACTCCCATCTCCCCTTCTGTGGCCTGCCAGGACCCCCACCTCCATGGTCCTTTCTGTCCCTTCCAGTGCCTGAACAAACCGAGGGTTCCACTTCTCCCCTGCTTAAGTACACATCTCCTGGGCTTCCCCTCCACCTTGCAGGCCTCTCACCTCCAGTCTCCTGCCTTCTTCCAGGGCTCTCACCTCCAGCCTCTCTCCTCCCCTCTTCTCACCGGCCAGCTCTCCTCTCTCTTCCACTCCAGGAGCCTGGCTCTTTGAGACTCCTGCCCTGGCCGCTCCACCTGTCTGACTAGATCTTGCAGCAGCCCCGCCCTCCGCCCGCCCCCGCCACATTGGGCATGGGGTGGAGGGTGGGTCCAGGCCACAGGTCAATGCCTAGAGGAGCAGGACCCACCAGAATTGAGAAAGCCAAGTAAGGCCCCAGACTCGCCACCTTAGACCAGCCAGATAAGCTAAGGTTGCAGGTTCTCCAGAAACTTCTAGCCAGGACCTCTGGCTAAAGCCAGAGGAGTTGCTAAAAGTCCACACCCAGGATTCTCTCCCAAACCAGCCATGAATTCTCAGTTTGTCCTACTTCAGAATGGGCATCACCCTTCCCTACCAGGGAGGGGTAAGGACACCAGTGGTATGTGAGGAGGTGGGGGTGGGGGAGGTCTCAGGAATCTTTCCCTCCCTCTGGGAGGGAGCCTCTTGGGCCAGGCCCCCTCCTCCTCAAAGTTGAAAGGAATGTCAGGAGCATGCTTACAAGGATACAAACACTTAGCTTAGACCCAGGGAAGCCTAGGCTCTGTCCTAGAGGGATTGGGGGGGGGGGGGGGGGGTGTCCAGCAGCCTAAGTCCTCCAGGTGCTCTCCATCCCTCCCCTCCTCAGGGCTCCAGCTCTAACATTTCATATGCACCCTCCCTCACACAGCTCTCAACCACCCCTGAGACATGCTACCATACCAGGGGCATACACATCCACACATAGCCCATGCATATCTTTTGGACCACACCACCAAAACAGGCATCCCTCCTGGACTCTGACCAGGCTCCTAAACCCCACACCTGTCAGGGACTGTATCCATAGTGACACACTTGACCAGGCGTGGGTACAGGAGAGGCGAGGGAACATCAGTCTCCTCACACCTCCCTCCTTCACGCAGAGCTCTTGGTGAGTGACACCCCTCATTTCTTCACACAGACACATTTTGTTGGTGGCTTATGTTGGAATGGGGCCTACCATTTAGGCATGTGCTCTCTCACACAGTTCCTCTCTGACACATGTGAGCTTGCCAGCTCCTTATCTCCTTCAGCCACCTCCAATTCACTCCCCCTTCATCACCACATATACCGGTAGATACCCCGGAACCCTGAGGACAGGAGAGAGTCCAGACTTCTGAGAAGGATCTCTCCCTACACTTGAGGGAACCCCAGCTGTGTCCCCCCCGCCGTGGAATAGGGCCAGTTCCCTTAAGATGATGGAAAAGAAAAGGGCACCGGCAAAGGGGAAAAAAGGTGTAGGGAGAGGAGTGGGCAGAAGGGGGCAAGGCCAGGAGGTGCTGGAAAAGAGCTAGGTGTGAGTAAATGGGGGTCAGGGGCCAAGGTGTCGGGGAGGGAGCATGCTGGGCAGGCCCAGCCCCAGTAGCTGGGACCTCCCACCCATTCGCCCCAGGAACAGCCTCGCCCACAGCCTGGGCAGGGCAGCGCAGGGCAGAGCAGGGCTAGCCTGGCCAGCCAGGCAGGGGGCGCTGGCACGTGGGGAGCCAGGGAAGGCCCACACTCACCAGTGGGAGCCAGGCGGGCAGCAGTGGAGGGCTCCGAGGGATCAGGGCCGGAGAGAAGTCCCCAGGGCCGCCTGTCGGCCACTTCCTCATCTGCTGGGCCGACTTTCTGTCACCAGAGGGGGAGAGGGCGGGCCGGGCGGGGGGCGCCTGCTGATTGGGCGGCCGGCCGAGGCAGGAGGGGCCGTCCAGCGCCCGCCAGGCCGCCAGGGCGGGAGCAGGGGCGGGTCGGCAGATCCCCGGGCAGGAAGCACACCCAGCCCCAGCTCTCCACCCCTTCCTTCGCATCTCTCAGCTTGTCCCGCCGATGACTACGGCTTGGCCCGCAACCAGCTTCTTCTTGACGTTCAGCCTGCATGGCCCCATTCGTGCTCCTCTGTCCAGTCCAGCATGAGGACCCCTTCATCTGCTATCTGCTCCGCGACTGGAGCGGCTTAAGACTCCAGGAAAATTACAGGGTTCAACCATTCCCTCAAGGCTCCCAGCAAGGGCAGAGGAGGGCCAGCTGCGCCTGCTAAGGGCTGATTGGGGTGGCGAGAGGTCTTGCGGGAGGCAACAGCTGGCCACCGCCATGCCTCTCAGAGCCTATAAACTTGGATGAGTCCTAGCATTAGGAGCCTTGGAGAGGATTTCCTGGAATGGAGATGGGAGAATACAAGTGGCCCCAGGCAAGAACTGTGAATCACTGTCTAAACTGGCCTTCAAGGTAGTGAAGGGGGGGAGGGGGGAGGTAAGTGAAATTGGCTGTGGTTCAATGTAGTCGATCTTGGAAGCCAAATGAGGCAGTCTTAACTTTTATTTTAGAAGCAGAAGAAAACGAGGTTTTTGAGGCAGCTCATCTCACTCATCGGACATTTACCAGCCATCTACAGTGTACAAAACTACATTACGCTCTGGTCCCTGTATTTACACAATTTACAGCCCAGGTCCAAGGTACTGGAGAGTGATCAGGTGAGAGAAAACAGCTGGACCTGAAGAGGAAACTTAAACTTACAGGATTGGGAAAGAGAGACAACATGTGTGTGTGTGGGGGGGGGGGGGGTCTTCAGTTGTCAATTCAGCACTGCCAGGCAGGCCAAGTTATTGGATGACATGAACTCTGTCTTTCCTATAATGAGCCAGTTACAGCTTGGACAGCTGGATGATGTAAATGTGTAGAAAGTTGGAGAAATCAGAAGAGGCAGTGGCTAGGAGGGATAATACGTTCTTAACTGATGGGTGTAACTACCTTGGTGTTGCTAAGAAATGAAAAACCAGAGTCTAGTTTTGAGCATCCTTAGGTTATCAATTAGCACTCCCCCCCCCCCCACCTTCTTGTCAGTTTTTTGAGACAGGGTTTCTCTATGTAGCCCTGGCTGTCCTAGAACTCAATCTGTAGACCAGGCTGGCCTTGAACTCATGGAGATCTGTCTGTTTCTGTGCCACCACACCGGGCAGCCCCTATTCTTGACAAGAAACAGCAAAGAATTTGCTTCCAAACCCAGCCCCATTATCATGTACAAGAGGCCCCCAGTCTCCCTGGTCTCAGAATACATGTGCTATTCTCATTCTCAAGCCACAGCCCATGCTTTAAGCCATCAAATAATGTCAGCATCTTTCTCTCTAGTGAGCACCCATGCTGGATCCAAAACCTCTCAGTGGAGCATTCAGAATGGTGCTTTGCATGTATGTTTAGAAAAGACTTGTTAGATGAATATTCATGAATTTACATACAAACATATCCATCTATGGGGCTGCCTCCAACTCTCAAGCTTTCCCCTTGGCTCAGCACAACATAGAGTCAGAGCTCCAGGCAGTAAATCAGTTTTGCCTCTGGCTGACTATCATGCAGTTTTCTGCACCTCTCCCAACTCCATGATCCTTTCAGCAAGAAAAGGTTACATTTTAGTCATCTGTCTGCATAATTGGGCCCATTATCTGTCACTCATTTGACCCTACTCATGTTTGCTGATTAGATGTTAGAATAAATAGGATAATGAAAGGAAAGGAGAAACTGCAACCCAGAGTCAAGCAGAGAGCACAGTTCTTTGAGTTAACCAATACTTCTTTCATGTGTATTCAAACAGCTCTGAGGCCACACCTGACTCCTGACTCCGAAATTCTGAGTTTAAATGTTCTACTTAATATGCGTGTGATCACGACACTGTGGAACCTCCTAAAAATGAGAATAAACTATCTTATAGAATCATTGTGAAGGTTAAAAGCAGTAGCCCACGTAAAGTGCTAGCTGGCTCAGCATTACTAGACAGGCAAGAAGCAAGCCATCACACAAAGTACATGTTTGTATATGAGTTAACAAGTACTCTTTTAACCAATCTTTGCTAAGCAATGCGCAAATATGTAGACTCTGAAAGCCCTGCTAAGATATTTGGATCTATGTATCCATTATGAAAACACACTGGAAAGATGATGACATTGTTCTAAAATCACACAAACAGGAAGCTTCGAGTATGTGCGCGTTCGTCTGAGCCAAGCTGATAAATGACCATGGTGAGTCCTCAGTAAATGTTGGCTGACTACATGAATGAACAAACTCAAAGACTCAATTCCTAACCTTGTCCCTATAGAAAGCAACTTCCAATATCTGCTATAGCTCAAGTCTGCCAAATGGCATCTCCATGGCCATGAGAATCTGGCAAAGCACCCAGCCTAGGACAGCAGACATACATAAATGAACAACACATAGTAGCATGTGGTGAATTGTCCCAAAGAGAAACCCAGTGGCTTATGAAAGCTCTGGGGAGGGGGGAACTTAATCAGAGGTAGGGGTTAGTTCTTAAAAGACTTCTTAGAAATGACACCTGACACCCAGGACACTTTCTAGCAGTCAGGGAGAGGCCTCTGGGACAAAGAGAAGCATGTAATGGCCTAGAAGCAAAAGATGTGGCAAGTGTTGGGAACTCTTAATTAGTTTGGGATGGCTCCAGCTCAGAGCCACCCCAGCCTTCCCCAATCCTCTCCAGTGTGTGTGTGTGTGTGTGTGTGTGTGTGTGTGTGTGTGTGTGTGTG